CTTGTTCTGGTGTGTCTCAGTGCCTCAGGGCTCATTCTTTCTGTTAAGTTTTTGTGTCCCAGCCCCAGCACAGACATTCCAGGGAGGAGGGCACTCCGACTTAAGGTGGATGAGCATTGCAGGAATTCGTGAGCCATCCCTCCCTCATTTGCCTTTGGCCAGGCCACCATTGCCCCTGAGGCCCAGAGTTCCCCGAGGAGGCACTCCCTTGCTTGCAAGACTGCCAGCAGCACCTGTGGGCTTTGTCATCAGGAAGACCGGGGCTCGAATCTCAGCTGTGGCACTCAACCAGCCTCTTCACTTCGGGGACCTAAGGATAAATAAGATCTATTTGATCAAGGAACCCCAGCTTAATTTAGGGGCTGTAGGAGAGGTGGAACTTCGAGGGAGGGGACGGGAAAGTGATTCTTAAGGAGATGGATGCCCGTGGCCTTTCAGGAAGGCCACAAGAGCTTATTTGGGAGCAGTGTGTCCAGGTGTGTACTGGGCATGCTCTGAAGCAGAAGCGGCGAGTCTGGCCTGCAGGTAAATGGCACTGGAATCCAGGGGCTGCAGGAGGCCACCTCTGGAGGAGGTGGGGCGGTTCCTCTAGGACTTGGGCTGCAGGACTTCGCTCTTGTTCATGTTATGGTTACGTCATTCTTCCTCCAGCTCCTGTCGCTATCAGCCTGAGGACTTGGAGCGGGGAAGTCTCTGCCTGACCCAGCGTCTGCTCCAGGCCTGCTGCCTCCCCACTTTCTGGCCTCTGTACCCCTGTCCCAGGGGGCCCACAGCTGCTTCTTTTCCCAACCAATAAAGCGACCACTTCTAGCACCAGAGGCTGTGTGGCATTCCTTCCTGTCCCGGCGTTCCTGCCTTCTCTGGGCCTGGCTTGAGGCGGGAGGGGGTCTGGGGTCGTGGCCAGCTCTTCCAGGCACACAGCGTCCACAGAGGAACCACCTCGGACCAGCGGGGACACTCCCAGGTGAAGTGTGACACTGGAGCCTGCAGTTGGGAGTTCTCCCCAGTGTGGTGGGTGAGAAAAATAAGAGGCTCAGAGAGGTAACAGGATGCCCCTAAAGCAGCGGTTCTCAGCCTTCCTGATGCCACAACCCTTTCATACAGGTCCTCATGTGGTGGTGACCCCCCCCACCACCACCCAACCATAACATTATTTTCATTGCTGCTTTATCACTGTCATTTTGCTACTGTTATGAATTGGGCGACCCCTGTGA